TGGGGGAACTTTGGCCCCTTCATGACTCGTGGACTTCAACTCCCAGAATTCCTGAGCCAGCATGGGGGAACTATGGCCCCTTCATGACTCGTGGACTTCAACTCCCAGAATTCCTGAGCCAGCATGGGGAAACTATGGCCTCTTTATGACTTGTGGACTTCAACTCCCAGAATTCCTGAGCCAGCATGGGGGAACTATGGTCCCTTCACGACTCGTGGACTTCAACTCCCAGAATTCCTGAGCCAGCATGGGGGAACTATGGCCCCTTCACGACTCGTGGACTTCAACTCCCAGAATTCCTGAGCCAACATGGCTCAGCTTGGAAACCTCTCCCTTTCCCCTCAGCATGGCTGCCTCAGGAATTCTGGGAGTTGAAGTCCACGAGCCATAAAAGAGCCGAGGTTGCCTACCCCTGGTCTAAATGTTAACCTTCTGAAGCTGATGATGATTCCCAAATATGCCAGATGTGGAACGTAATGCCTATCAAAACGCTGTTGCTATTTTACTGTCAACAAAGAAATAAAAAAAGAAAACAAAAACACGTTAAGTCGTCTTTGAGTCTTAAAGCAATTTCCTTCAGCTCTCGGGCAGCTTTTTGTTCACTCTGCAACTTTCAGCTTCCTTACCTAATTTTCGCTTCCCAAATTAAATAAGCCTATCAAAATGCAGCTTTCCTTCGACCGTAGCCATCTTTGAGTTTTCTGAAGCCACTTTCAGGCAAAAAAAAAAAAAAAAAGGAATGCGTTCAAAACTGCAGATTGCATAGAAAAGTACGTAGGTAGGTTAAAAAAAAGAAGGAGAAATGAAATTATTGGCCCTGCGGACTTACAATTTCCATATTTCTTTTCCTCCCCTCCAGAAAAAAAATATATCTGCAGATAAGCACTGATCAGCCATTATCGTAAATCATAGTGATCATCTAGGTCACTATGCATAATGCATTTCTCTGAAATAGTCTATAGGGCAGGGATCTTCAAACTTGGCCCTTTTATGACTTGTGGACTTCCAGCTCTCAGAATTCCTCAGCCACTAAAAGACTCTGAGGTCCCTTCCAGCTCTATAATTCTGTGATGGACCTTGGTCTTGGTCCAACATCTTCAATGTCGACACCACGTGGATAATATCAACAGGATAAGGCCATGAGCAATGAGGAGAGGTGGGCACTTCACACCAAGTCCATTAAGCAGTTCCACGTCACAATGAAGGAATGACGTTCTGAAGGTAGCCTTCAAAGGGAGAGAAGCATTATTCAAGGTCCCAGCTTGCTCTGAGCTTTCAGATTTGATGCAGGAAATAGGAAAATCAATAGCTGGCAGGCTGAAGAAAGCAATAGAGTGTCAGAAATGATGGAGTAGTGATGCTAAAATAAGATGGGGGGAATAAATCAATACCTACAAATCATCCTTGTACGTTCTATCAAACAGAGTAGAAGCACCAAATTGGAAGAAGACTTTGAAGCCATCACGTACAAGCCAGTGCAGGGATCCAGATGAAGACATCACCAACTGTTAGATGTTTTCTGGTGAGACCGGTCTATCAGGGCTAACCTGGTCTACCCAAATATGGGATAGAAGATACTACTTCCACTTTTGCCTAACATGCATGCGGCCCCGGGTTCGAATCGCAGAAGAGAGTGGCTAGCGGATAAGAGCAAAATAGCTCAAAATAGCTATACTAGCTATAATTCTTTCCTTCCTTCTTTCCTCCCTCCGTTTCTCCCTCCTCTCTACCTCTTTCTCTTTCATTCCTTCTTTCCTTCTTTCCTATTTCTCTCTCCCTTTCCTTCTCTCCTTCCTTCCTCCCTCCCTCCCTCCCTCCCTCTCATCATCCATCTTTCTGCATCCGATGGATGTTTGTGTCCCATGCAACCATCTCACCAAAACCCTCACAAAGCTACATATGTAACTTGCAAGAAGAAAGATGACGAAAGGGCAAAAAAAGTAAGAATTATTCATTTTAAACCCAGCCCGGGATATCAAAGAGCTCAACGGTTCAAATGGGAAGGATAAGTAAGCGAGGTTAAGCCATACACACAACTACTAGCACCACTGTTCTGCCTACACACCAATATGTGATTATTTGTTATAAATGTGTCACTCACAAGACCGCAAAATGAACATCAAACCAGGGAATATGGGACGTTTGATGCAAAACACCCCAAGTCCTCGACTGCATTTGCCTGTATGTAATCATATTTGGAAGAACTCCACTAGAACATAAATACAAAACATAGTTTTCCTTCATTAACAACCGTGATCCATTTATTTATTAAAGTATCTGCAGGATCTTTCTCCACTGATCAACCCTAAGGTTTTTTACAACAACACCATGAAACAAAGGAAATAAAACCAACCCATGGAAAGGTAACGATATAACAGAACAACAGAGTTGGAAGGGACCTTGGAGGTCATCGAGTCCAACTCCCTGCTCAGCTAGGAGACCCTATACCATTTCAGACAAATGGCTGTCCAGTCTCTTCTTAAAAACTTCCACTGTTGGAGCACCCACAACTTCTGGAGGCAGGTTGTTCCACTAGTTAATTGTTCTAACTAAGTTTCTCCTTAGTTCTAGGTTGCTTCTCTCTTTGGTTAGTTTCCATCCGTTGCTTGTTGTCCTTCCTTCAGGCGCTTTGGAGAATAGTTTGACTCCCTCTTCTTTGGGGCAACCCCTGAGATATTGGAACACAGTTATCATGTCCCCCCTCGTCTTTCTCTTCGTTAAACTGGACATCCCCAATTCCAGCCACATGTTTTAGCCTCCAGTCCCCTGATCATCTTTGTTGCTCTTCTCTGCACTCTTTCTAGAGTCTCAGCATCTTTTTTACATCGTGGTGACCAAAACTGGATGCAGGATTCCAAGTGTGGTCTTACCAAGGCATTGTAAAGTGGTATTAACTCTTCACGTGATCATGATTCTATCCCTCTGTGGATGCAGCCTAGCACTGTGTTGGTCTTTTGGGCAGCTGCAGCACACGGCTGGCTCCTATCTAAGTGATTGTCCACTAGGACTCCAAGATCCCTCTCACAGTTGCTACTATTGAGCCAGGTACCTCCTAAACCAGGGGTAGGCAACCTTGGCTCTTTTATGACTCGTGGACTTCAACTCCCAGAATTCCTGAGCCAGCCATGCTGAGGGGACAGGGAGAGGTTTCCAAGCTGAGCCATGCTGGCTCAGGAATTCTGGGAGTTGAAGTCCACCAGTCATAAAGCGGCCTAGGCCAGGGGTAGGCAACCTTGGTTCTTTTATGACTCGTGGACTTCAACTCCCAGAATTCCTGAGCCAGCTATGCTGAGGGGAAAGGGAGAGGTTTCCAAGCTATGCTGGCTCAGGAATTCTGGGAGTTGAAGTCCACCAGTCATAAAGCGGCCTAGGCCAGGGGTAGGCAACCTTGGCTCTTTTATGACTCGTGGACTTCAACTCCCAGAATTCTCCTGAGCCAGCCACGCTGAGGGGAAAGGGAGAGGTTTCCAAGCTGAGCCATGCTGGCTGAGGAATTCTGGGAGTTGAAGTCCACGAGTCATAAAAGAGCCAAGGTTGCCTACCCCTGTCCTAAACTATACCTGTGCGTTTGGTTTTTCTTGCCTAGTTGTAAAACCTTACTTTTCTCGCCCCTGAATTGCATTTTGTGACAACTTGCCACAGGAAAAGGAAGTTGCTTCGTTCAAATGTAGTTCCATAACTTTGCCAGGTCTTCTTGGTTCACCAAAGACGGGTCTGAGCTGATCCTTTGTGAGCAGAGACAGAAACGCTCAGCTTCTTCTTTCCCCCAAATATACCGGATTAAATGACTAATTGCTTGGGCAGAGGAGACAAGTTAAGTAATGCCTCCGCCTGATGTTCAAATGAAATACTTAAGAGAATATGACACTATCTGTGGAAATGGGCTTTCTAGATTGACATAAAGCTCCAGGATTTTGCCAACCGCACTGATGGGGCCTCCGTGTGAATTTCACTGGGAATCAACTCATTTGGATTAAGGAATCAGCCCTTTGGAGAGCGAGAAAAATGATATTACAATGAACATCTCACAACTGCAACAGACAGGGAGTCTGATCTAGCCACTTTCCAAGAAAGTGCTGGAAAGTAAGTAAGAGGAAGAGGAAGAGAAAGAGAAAGAGAGAGAGAGAGAGAAAGGGAGAGAGAGAGAGAGAAAGAGAGAGAGAGAGAAAGGGAAAGAGAGAGAAAGAGAGAGAGAGAGAGAGAGAGAGAGAAAGGGAGAGAGAGAGAAAGGGGGGAGAGAGAGAGAGAGAAAGAAAGGGAGGGAGAGAGAGAGAGAAAGAAAGGGGGAGAGAGAGAGAGAGAAAGAAAGGGAGAAAGAAAGGGAGAAAGGGGGAGAGAAAGAGAGAGAGAGAGAGAGAAAGAAAGAGAGAGAGAGAGAGAGAGAGAGAGAGAGGGAGGGAGAGGGAGGGAGGGAGAGAGAGAGAGAGAGAGAGAGAGAAAAGAAATTCTTATTATATTCTGGAGAGAGGGAAGTTTCCTGAGAATGGGCTAAAGTATGAGGTCAAAAGCTTGGAAGAAGAAATTTTTGGTCCTGTTGGTTGACTCACATTGGATCCTGCAACATTATTCTGGGACATGTGTATAGAAAGAACAAAAGAATGAAGAGAGGAAGGAGAGGATGGAGGGAAGGAACGAAGGAAGAAAGGAGATGAGAGGGAGGGAAGAGGAGAGAAGGAAGGAAAGAAGGGGAGGAGGGAAGGAAGGAAAGAAGGAAGGAAGGAAGGAAGGAAGGAAAAAGATGGATGAGAGGAAGTGGGAGGTAAGGAAGGAAGGAAGGAAGGAGAAAGATGGGAGAGAGGGGAGGAAATGAAAGAATGAAGGGAAAGGGGGAGGGAGGGGAAGAAGG